GGGGGGGTGGTGGTGTTAACTGAGCTGTGGGTAGATGCCCCCCTTTTTAATGATAATGAATGCCAGCATCCACCGCTGGGAGCAGCCTCTGGTCTGTATTCATGAGGTGTGGGAAGTATTGATTTTTTTAAATTTTTTTTTTTTATGGAGATCTTGGAGCTGACCATTTTCAAGAGGTGTTCATGGTCCTCATTAATATGCAGGCCAGATAGTGACTATCAAGACCTGGGTTTAAGAGAGAGGCAATCTATACTGACCATTAAAAGCCCCGCAGTGTAATAGACATGTTCACTCCACTGCTCTCCACTTTAAACATTCCTTCTTGCAGTGTTCACCCTTAAAATGCTGGGCTTAATTTAGTATATTTGAGAGATTTTTTTTTAAAAAACGCCAATCAGTTTCAAAATCTGAAAACCATATGATCTATTTAAATGTAAGAAATTGACAATTTTTTTTTTAAAGTATGTCATGAAAGATTATGGTCTATAGACTGCTTGATAAGTAGTAGAAACAGTTGGTATGTACTCTCAGAAAAATAATTTAGTAAAATTTACCCAGAGGGGGAAGATAAAAATTCTGTGACCTTCCTAACATCTTTGAGTTTAAAAAATGTTAGAGATTTAATAAAAGCATAATATTTATTTTCATTTTTAGTTGTTTGAATCATTGTCCTGTAGAGAGTTGAAAGTTGCTACTGAGGTTCTTATTAAGTCTTTTATTCCTATTAGTTTTTAAAAGTGCATTAACCAATCCTGTTTTTAAGATCATTTTGTTAATATTTATTAAAGTAAGTAAAAAAAAAAAAAAAGCCAATCAGCTGTTGTCTTAAGCGGTCCGCTGTTCTTCAGATCCTGATCACTTAATGTCTTCTGCTCTGAGCTATTTTCAGGCATTCTATAAGCTCACCCTGTTGTGTATGACACTCATTCTGGCACTTGTTCCCTTCTTCTTTGAACCAGTTTCATTTCTCTTCCTGCTGCCCTCACCTGGTTATCTCCACGCATGCTCTGTCCCATGAACCCCTGGGCAGACCGAATAGGATTAAGAGTTCTATTTCCCTCTGCAGCCAACTCCATTGAGTTTGCACTTTCCTCAGCTGGGGGACATTCTCATCCACTCTAATCCATTAAATGTCTTGTTTGCTAACATTGTCATTATCGCAGTTATGGGGACTTAATTAAAACAGGAAATAAATGCATCCCACAATCAAATTTTCACTTTACGGCTTGGTATTTTTGATCACGAAAGCTGTAGAATGAAGATGCGCTTTTATAAAGAGGCAGCATTTCTCATTTGGTTGTGATGAATTCAGTTGTGTCCCTCCTCCCCTCAAACTGGTAGTGGAAAGCCTAACCCCCTTATACTTGCTATAAGGAGCCCCTGTGGCACAGTGCTTAATGTACTTGGCTGAAAAGCAAAAGGTTGATAGTTCAAATTCAGTAGCTGCTCCATCAAAGAAAGCTGAGCAGTGAAGAGATAGACCCAGGGAGTGGCAGGAAAAGTCACGGGGAATTGGGACTGAGTCAATGGCAGTGGCCATAATCCCATCTGGGAATGGGGTTTCTTTGTTACAAAAATGAAAAAACGTTTGTGTGGGGAACATGTAAGTAAATTGCTTTAATGATAGAAAAAGAATCAGTTGAGCAAGTATCCAAGCGAGGAGGCAGAGATGGGCGGGAAATAGATGCCATACCTCGTGAAGACCGCTGAGAACAAGATGCTAAAAAGTGTGGAAGATTTTCTCCAGAGCTGAAAGAGTGAACCCTGAACACTTTCTCCAAGAACAGGCAGCCCGGAAGCAGACTGGGAGCCTCGCAAACTGTGAGACAAGAAAGTTCTGTTTGTTAAAGCCACTCCCTTGTGGTATTTCTGTTTTAACAGTGTGGTTGTTGACCAGCTTTTGTCTGAGAGGAGATAGTATGAATTCTCAGGATGGAAAAGCCAGGGAGCTGAAGAGGCTGAGAGAGCAGATGGTGGTGGGCTCCACAGATTCCCACCCCTTTCTAAGATACAACTACGTGGTGTTACAGAGTCTGATAGCGCCCTAGAAGGATCCAGCTCAAAGGGAACAGAGTGGTTTTGGGCGTCGACCTCCTTTCAAATCATCTGTATATAACTCGGTTTCTCCATTAGCTCACTTAATGAAGAGCTGCCCCCGTCTGGTGGTGACACAGTTCCCTTTTTATGCATAAGAAAGCTCTTGCTATTTTCACTTTAGGGACGGTTATTTTCTTTTCTTTTTTTTTTTTTTAAGGACAGTTATTTTTAAAATGCTCTCGGGTTCATTCTTACCGAAGGCTCCTTGCCAGAGAATTGAGGCACCGGGCACTGGGCAGCCGTCTGCCATTCGGCGTGGTGGTCCCTGCAGAAGGTCGCATTGTGTTCAGATACACTCTCAGGAGTTTGGCCTCGGACAATCCGACTTGGCATTAAAAAAAAAACAACAACCAAAAAAAAAAAAAAAAAAAAAACAAAACCCAAACAAAAACCAACAAAGAGAAACAGAAATTTAGAATGGATTTTGTGCAGCCTCGTGACACCGCAGATTTGTTACCGAGCAGGCTCCGACTCCCTTGGAACTCAAGCTGTCACTCATTTCCCTGAGCAGCTTTAAAAATAGGCATTTAAGAAGCCCTGGATAACTTTGAAGATCGCACGAAAGAAGTGCCCCTCTGCGGTGTCTCAGCTAAATTGAAAGTGTCTATATTAGAGAATTCATAATGAAGGGAAATTGTTTGAACACATCCTTTTGTAGACTGTTGAATTTAATTAGGTGACATCTCATCCTGATTGCTGATTTGGGCTAATTGGCTAACTTTGTACTATTTGGATTCTTTTACAGATTTATTTAACTTCTCCCCTTCCTAGTTTGTTTCTGAGCCCTTAGAAGTTGTCAAGTAAAGAAGTCAGAAGAAGTTTCACGAATGAAGGATTTTGTTTGTTTGTTTTTTTTGTTTGTTTTACCCCCAATAATTCTGTTGACTGTGACACTTATGTGTCAAATGTGATAATGGTTACCCATGGTGGACAGTGTTTGGTGGGGCTCCCTGTTTAAAATAAGCTTGGAAGCATGAGTGGCATCCACTTCCATAATAACTTGCTTCCAGAAACACTATGAATGTGGAGAAACGATGAAAGGTACACGAGTGTTCAGGTCTTTTGTTCACAGGGTCACTATGAGTTGTCTGTGGCTGGATAGCACTTAACAACAACAACAACAACCCCAGTGACCCACATAAGCTTAGTGTTTTGACAGGGTCAGAATAGGTCAAAATGAAGTGTGCCTTCAAGACCGTATTGATAGATTAGAAAGAGGAAATGGAAGCTAATCATCATGGATATTGAGCCTTTGAATTTTTTGTCCCTTGCTATATATCTGAGAGCTGGACAGTGAATAAGGATGATAGAAGAAGAATTGATGCCGTTGAACTACATTGTTGGAGAAGATCACAGACTATCCCATGGACCGCCAAAAGAACAAACAAATGCATTTTGGAGAAAGCGCAGCCAGTGTTCCTTGGAGGCAAAGATGACAAAGCTTCAACCCACATCCTTTGAGCAGGTTGCTAGGAGAGGCTATGCCTTGGAGAGGGACACCATGCTTGGAAAGGGGGAGGGCTGGCCAAAGAGGGCAAGAACCTCAGGGAGATGGATTGGCACAGTTTCTGCAGTGATAGGCTCAGGTATGTCACGGATGACAAGGACGGCACAGTATAGGATAGGGTTCAGAGCTGTTGTCACTATGAGTTGTACTTGAATGCGCATAAATGGCAGAAACAACAATCTTCAAGGAGGAAGCGTGGCTTCAAGAGTCTGGTAATCTTGTTAAATTACTTTTACCGCAACTGTAGCACTTGCTGAGCTCTGACAACTTGCTGTGAAAGATGTTCTTTGGTCACTGCATGGTTCATAGGGGGAGGGGCAGAGGGATGCTTGAAACTTTGAGGTTGTACAAGCTGGGGGTGGTTCCATTCCTAGGTTGTTGCTGATTGCCTTCGAGCCAAGCACGACTCATAGCGACCCTGTAAACAAAAGTCCTGAAGCTCCTCTACAACTACTGACATTTATCAAAGTTCATAGAGTTTCAGGAGGCATGTTGTTTAGGAAGTGGATGCCACTCCTGCTTCCAAACCTGTAAATAGTACGTTATGTGCATTCCTAGGTTCTAGCGAGTGAAATGCATGCGTTGTTTTCGGAATCATGCTGCCTACAGACTAGGAAATGTCAGCCTCACACAGACACCTCTCTGCATAGTCTGAGAGTAACATCCTACCTCTCTGCCCCGCTGCGTTTGTGTTGTAGACCTTGGGAGGAGGGAACAGCAATACCCTTGGACACAGCCTGGAGATTTGCCACCTTGGGCCTTTTCCCAGTCAGTTTCATGGAAGTCATCCAGACTTAATAGCATCTCTGAGCTAGATAGCAACACTATCTGTAAATCTCCCAAGGAGCAAAGGATGCTCTGACATCAGAAAGGTGAATAGTAAATGGAAACCAGAGGAAACAAAACCCTAAGTGTTAACACTTTCATTCTCAGCCAACATTACCTACGCCGTCTGTGAAGGAACCTTTCTGGTGTTCTACAAATCCGGTATCTTTTTAAATTTGAAAAATGTTGTATGTCTTCATCTATGCCATCCCATAATAGGAAGATTAGCGTGCTTTAATGCGTCCCAATAATCCTACTTTTACTTGCCATTTTGCAGAGAATTTGCAAATTACTTTTGCTGTAAACAGTAGCTGTGGAATACTTCAAGCTGAGAAGATTAAATGAGGCCCTTATCCCCAAATAAGCCTTTCAACTAGGTTAAAATGACTAAAAATTTCATCTTAAGAAACATTACTTCGATGGGGAAAACACCTCTGCGGTGCAACATTGCCCGTTGAGACGCTCTTGTGCTTCTGTGGTGAATGAGTGTTTAGGGGGGAACATTGAGCTGGACACGGACGTGCTTGCTCTGAAGGGGACTCCAGGCATGGAGGGGCCTCTCCACAAAGGTTAACCACCTCTCATCTGATAAGAATCTTTGGCAGAGAGCAGGACCAGGCAGGACTCTCTGAGGATGAGCCCTTCAGGACCGCATGCCATTCCTACAGCTCCAGAGAGACAGAAAGTGAAGGTGAGGGGGCATCCCGTCAGAAAAGTCCATTGCAAATGCTCTTAGGCAGAAAGAACATGGGGTGTGTTTAGTTAGGAAGCATCACGCATTGCAACATCTACTGACCCAGTCACCAGTGAGACTGGGCAGGGTGATGGGGAATCTCTTAGGGTAAAATACCCCCATGGGGCAATGTTTCCTTCTCCCAGGGCCTCCTAGTCCAGTTGACGGGTGAGGGCATGTGGGGTGGACTTCTGCTTCTTGGAGTTTTCAATATCTAGGTTTGGGAAGTAGATCACTAGACCTTTCTTTGGGGAGTCCCTCTGTAGTTGTTGTTGTTGTTGTCATTGCATGTTGTTCAATAGAAACTAACCATAGCTGACCCTCCAGCAGGTTTTCAGAGGCAGCAAATGAAATGGTACGGGAAAAGATTATCCATCTTTATCCCACGGGGCACCTGGCAGTCAAACAGATACATAGCTCCTTAGCACTCAGCCACCAGAGGTCTGGTGGTCTGCCGGTGAACAGCTGCACTGGAACCCCAAAGGCAAGCAGTTTGAAGCCACCAGCTGCTCTGCAGAAGAAAGATGGGCCATCTCTTTGGTTCCATTTACTGTCTCTGAAAACCAGCTAATGGGGTCGGTTACGGGTTGGTTCTGACTTGATGGTACACCACCACCACCACCACCACCACCACAAGAGAGCTTCCTAAAGAAATCTCTGAAGGCACTAAAATTTTCGAACTTTCAATTAATAGCTGAGTACATTAACCATTTGCCCCATCCAGAGAGCCCATCTGATGTAAAAATTCCTCAAATATAGTATTTTTCACTCTGTAATTTGATCAAAATGGCCTTGGATCAACTGACAGATGGCTGCTTATGAACCAATTTGCCCCCGTTTCGGGAGTGGGGACAGCAGAAGCACAGCCCCGGTCCACCTCTGTCCTTGCAACTAGAAAGGAAGTGTGTGGGACCCACAGTCACCATGTCACATCCAGCTTCCTGGCTGTGTGCAGTCTGTCTTGCTGCATGCCTCCTCATCTTCATAAGCAGGGCCCACTTCCAGCATCAGGACCACTCCCTCTCCACTTAGCTGCAGTGCTGGGGGAATGGTAGGACCACACGGAGGAAGAGGTGGGGACTCTGTTTGTGGAAGAAGCTGGTATAAAGCCACACGGAATGTCTGCAATACCTGCTTGCAGGTGCTGAGATGTCTCCTTTACAGAAGGGAAGCTCTGCTCTTCACGGGATGGTTAGGGGTCCAGACCTGAGTGTCAGAAGACTCGCATCCGAGGTCTCTCTCTGCCCTTGCTTCATCGTGGAGCCTCGAGTTACTCTCTCACCTCTCTGGACGTCTGCTTCTCCTCAGGAAGTGGAGCTAAGGACACCTTCTCTACTCTACAGAACTGTTGGGACAGCAGTGTCACTCCCTACCATGAGGCCACCACCTTCTCTACTGTACAGAATTGTTGGGACGGCAGCGTCACTCCCTACCCCGAGGCCACCACCTTCTCTACTGTACAGAATTGTTGGGACGGCAGTGTCACTCCCTACCACAAGGCCACCACCTTCTCTACTGTATAGAATTGTTGGGACGGCAGCGTCACTCCCTACCACGAGGCCACCAACGCTTCCTCACTCTGCAGAATTGTCCTCAGGTCCAGTGGATCCTGTGGACGGAGGTGCTCTGGGAATTGGAACTGGAAAGAAGGGTGCCAATACATGAAATGGTTAATACGGGGCAGCGTCGGTCAGAGACAGCAATCTGTTGTTGATCAAGGGCCATTTTCACAAAATGTACAGTCAACGATATTTTATTTGAAGGTTTCTTCTATCTGGTGTGTTGAATGTGCCAGCAGCTCTTCAGGAGAAAGATGAGCAATCTTCTCCCATGCAATTTTCTCCTGAAAACCCACTACAGGGCCCGCTATGGGTCAGGTCTGATCTGATGGTGATGAGAGTGTGAATTCTCTCAGGCGGAGTCTCTAGGTGGGGAAAATCAAATGGTCAATGTACATGGTTTCTAATTGGAAGGCTGAAGGTTTGAGTCCCCTTAGAGGTACCTCAGAAGAAAAGCTTGGTGACATCTCTAAAACACCTGCCAGTGAAAATCCTAGAACCCAGTTCTGATACACATGGGGGCCCATGCTGACTCAACAGCTGGTATTGGTAATCTTGAGGTGTAACTCTAGTTTCTAAGTGAACGGCATTGAGTATTAGAAAATCGTTTTGTGGGGTGTCTGGGCAAACCCTCTCAGATGGGAAAGCAAGCCCAGAGAAGGCGGAGAGCTTGCTTGGGACCTCACTGATAACGGGTGATCCAGATCCCAGGACAGACTTCCCATCCCACATTGGCCTTCCTAGATGATGATTCTGGTCAAGAAGGAGTGAAAGTCTGATGTAAAAAATAGATACATGAATGAATCCTAGATAGACTGGGTGGCAGAGACAGGTTGCGAATGAATCACACATCTATTGTCATCCAGCTTTCACAAGAGCTCCCAGATCTTATAAACATGCCACGAGTTACCAAACAAGTCAGAGAGGAAAAGAAAATACACCACCTCTCCACCCCTAGAGCTCATTTTCAGTGTTCCCTAAAAAAAATCAAACAAACAAACCATAAGTCACAGCGAAAGGACTTTTTCCACACATTATATGTGTCCTTTCCTCATTACATGCCACATTGCTTTATCAAAAGGACTTTCAAAGAGATGCTCCACAGAGATGGGGATTTTACAGTTTGCATAGTCTAGACTCACCCTGTGCCATGGACAACCAGACAGATGAAGAAGATGATGAAGACATGGTGTGTGTACCAGAACAACTCATAGGAGACCTGCCTGATAAACTCTGTTGAAGAGGTCAGGATCAGGATTAAGACCAGAGTGAGGACCAGGCCAGTTACACCTGCTATTGTAGTTAGCAGCTCAATAGTTGTGTTCTAAAAAAACAGAACAATAAAGAATACCAAACCGTTAATATGGTAGTTACACCCCTCCGTTGTAGGATCAATACTTGAGAGTCCCACCAGGGAGCAAATGAAAATATTTTCATTAGAATAAAATTAGTCTTCTTCACAAGGGTTCCAAGACAAGTCAAAGGGTAAGCATCTTCCCATCTCTCTTTCTTCATCTTATGGAGGAAATTAAACGAAAAACACAACAAGTAAAACCCCAAACCAGTTGTTGATGTCACCTCATGGTGAACCTGTGTGGCAGAGCTGAACTGCAAATCACAAGGTTTACAAGCATGTGACCGTTGGGAAGCATGTCACCAGATCTTTATTCCAGTGTCCCAAGATCTTTATTCTGGTGTCATCAGATCTTTATTCTGACTTGTCTCTGGGTGGGTTCAAACCACCAATCTTTGGTTTGGTAACCAAACACTTAACAGTTGGCATCATCCAGAGACTGGACACCAACCAGCTTTGTTTGAGCAAATTTTTTTTTAAAAAAATTTCATTGATTTTCTGTTTTTCATTCAGATAAAGTCACATTTATTCAAGATTACAAAAGCATCAAATTTTGGAAAATAGATTTGGAAAAGTGCATTTAAAAACAAAAACCTGCAAAATAAATATAATGTTGCTGTTATGTGCTATTGAGTTATAACAGACTTATAGCTGACCCTTCAGATGTTTTCAGAGGCTATATGTCCCATGGGAGAGTCGCTAGATGATTTGAACCTCATACCTTTGGGTTGGCAGCACAACTCCTTACTCACTAGGCCATCAGAGCTCCCCTAGTGAATATGAGGTTGATTGATCCTTAACATGAATAAAAACATGAACTTCTCTAAGAAAAGACAAAGAAAAAGTCTTTTGAGTGGTTCCTAATAAGATTGGTTCCTCTGACAGACCTTCCTTGTGCTTGATGTTGAATTGGGAGGACTCTGACTTACATCTCTTTTCTATCACTCCAGGAGGTCTGGAATGAGGCCATGCAAATCCCAAGGGACCAGGTATGCTTATCTGATGGACCTGCCAGAGCACCTGCATTCTGACCTGTGGGTGCAGGCGTGGTTAAAGAACCTTCCAGAAAATGCATGACAGGGCATTTGGGGTTTTTTTGTTAGCTTCCCTTCTTGTCAAGCGTTAGTATTCATCCGCTGTAGTCTCATTGAGACAACCATGAGTCACTACGCCTACACTGACTACACCTTTTGTCAGTAAAACCTCATTAATTTGGGCAGCTTTAATATCTCCAGGTCATTCAGACAGGCCTTCTCCTGGTATTTATCTACTTATTTCCTTTCAGAAAGGAAACAGCACTAATGAATTTGGAAGGAATATGTAGAAAATATCTTAGAGAACTTTTTTCCTCAAGTATAATCAGACATTTTAGAAATCCAGTCATAACACACAGCATGCTAATTTCAAATCATTCTTCTTTGCTTATTAAAGAAAATCCCCACTTACTTTTTTTTTTTTTTTACAACACATTTATATCAGACTGGTTTGAGCTGCAATGAATCCTCTAAAGTAATCACAATGTATCTCTTTAGAATTAACCCATAATGTATACTCTGTTATTGATACTCATCTTTTCCCAAATACTCAAATTAGAGGGTTTCCTGAGCTTAATTAGTACTTTACATAGTATATTGCTACTAAAATTTTGAAATAACTATACTGGGAGCAGCTTAATCATCTTGTTAAACTGCTTTTAGAAGAGTGAAACATCACGCACTATTTATTATGTAGTCTCTTCCAAATGCTGAGATTTATTGTTGGATATGTACAGCAATGGTCGTAAACAGCATCAACAAGAAGTAGGGAGAACGGAGCTAACTCAGTTTTTTTTTGTTGTTGTTTTGTGCCATCAAGACAATGGTGACTCTAAGCAACACTATGAATAACAGATCGGAGCGTTGTCCTATACTCTGCCATCCTCAAGTCTCTGCCACGTTTGAGCCCGCTGCTACACGTACTGCGTCAATCCATCTCGTTGAAGGTCTTCATCTCTCTCAGCCCCTCCACAGGAGCTTGGACAAGTGCTGCCCTTTTGATTTCTAACTCTCAAACATGAGCTTCTTAATGTTGTCAGTCAAGAAGAGGCAGCTCGGCTTGATCAGTAGTCTGATATGGAAAATAATCTCAGGGAAATTAGGAAATAGAACAAGGGAGCATTTCCCTGGAGCCTTTATATTTTGCTTACTCCGACCTGAAAGAGCAAAATAGCTACTTACAGACATCGTCCAGCTGGTAATGGAGAAATCTCCATTTCTGGAGTATTTTCTTTCCAGTACTTCCTGGTCAATAACAGAACTTTTAATTTTGGTCCATGGTCAACGTGGTGACTGCACATCCCGATATTATTGTAGTTCATGCAAATGGTTTGGATAGAGACAGATGGGTTAGACTATGGGAGAGAAACCTATTCATCTTGAGATGGGAATCACTGGCTACATTTTTGTTCTTCTTTTGCTCCCCAGATGATGCCACTCTGCGTACCCCTGTAATTACTAATGATGTCGTTGGCCAGGCGGGTCTCTTTATGAAATTAGCTACTTTGCCTAGTATCTGTTTTGGCAAACCAGCTCCTCAGATGTGAGCCAAATATGAAGCAGAGGAGAAGTGATCAAAAAAACAAATTTGCAAATTGAAAATGAAAATGTCTCATCAATAATCCCTGGGGCAAGGGTGACACTTCACTTCCTCTGGGTCTTAGACCAGTGGGAGAAAAATGACCTCATCACCAGTAGTTTTTCAAATTTTACATTTGTAGGGTTTAACAGGCCTACAGCATTTCTTAGTTAAGAGGACTTATCCATTTTTTCCTCCTCTAAACTGATTTAGTGGCATATGCTTTTTCCATCAGCAGTTTGACCCCACTGGGCACTCTGAAGGAGAGAGATGGACAGATCTCTCCCATGACATCTAGCCTCCGAAACCAGATGGGCTCTAGGAGTTAGAGCCAAGGCAAAGGCAAGTGAGTTTTGTTGGTTTACTTTATAACCTCTTAGCAACACTTAGCAGAAAAAGTCATTCTAACATTTGGCAGAAATGTCTCTTGCGTTCTCTCCTGAAAAGGCTTTGTCGTACACAGTTTTACTGAGACCAGGGTCTGAAAAGGAAGGGTTTGCAGATGAGAAAGTCTAGTAGGAGCGTGTGGGAGACTTACCGTGTGGAAGGTCCGGACGGGGTTGAGGTAGCTCTCGTTTGGGGCACTGCCCAGTTTGGACAGTGCGGCTGTGAGTCCCTCTGCGCCTGCGGACTGGCTCCAGTGGTAGCGCTCCAGGTTGAACAGGTGCGCCACGACATGGACAGCTGTGGATGAGGAGATATGTCGTTCACACACTCTGTGCCTCTTCTCTTTCTCTGTGGTCACTGAAAACACCTCTACAGTGAAGCTGCTCTGTTCTGTGCTTGTTTTTCATTGTTTGTTTTTTTAAATAAAATTTTATTTTCATTGTGATTTTAATGAGTGTTTATAGAGAAGTAAGAGAATTTTCATTCATTCATTGTTGCACATTTTACTTCCTCTTCCTCCCTTCCCTCTCTCCCAGTTCACTTTAAAAAAAAAATATTTCTTTATTGTTGCACAATGACCTCCCTTCCTCCACCACCCCAGTCCTCTTTGCAATGATATACCTTATTCTGGGTGTTGTTATACGTATAATACCTAGTCATACATTCCTTTTAAACAATTCATTCCTTCATCTGTCCCAGTGCAATGATCATTAGCTATCTACTCTTACCCTATTTATTCTCCTCCCCTTCCTCCCTCCATGTCAGACCTGCTTTATAACGGTGTTACCAAGTAGTATTTCTCCTTTTGTGACTGAGACATTTCACTCAGCACGATGTCCTACAGAGGGCCCATGTTGTGTAATGCTTTACGAGTTCATTTTTCTTCAGTGCTGCATAGTATTACACTGTATGAATATACTATAGGTTTTTCTATTCATTTTTTGATGGGCATTTGAGTTGCTTCCATCTCTTTGCTTTTGTAGGTAACAAAGCAAGAAACATGTGTGTGCATATATCTGTTTGGATGGTGGTTCTTGCATCTTTAGGGTATCTTCCCAGTAGTAACATTGCTGGGTCAAATGGTATTTCTATTTCCAACTTTTTGAGAAAATGCCAGACCACCTTCCATCAGGTTTGGTTTTAGTAGTGAAAGAAAACTGAGTTATTTGTGGACTTTTCTCTAGTATCTTGAATGGAGTGCAGTGAATTCTTCTGAAGATTTGATTACATAATTCATCACATTTACTTATAAAAAGAAAGAAAATACATTTTAATGAACGATAACTATAAGCCTATGACTCGATGGCACTTAACACAGAGAGAGACCAGTTGGCCTAGTGGACCGAAAGCGATGCTACCAAGCCAAAGGTGGGTGACTTCAATCTGCAGCCCTACAGCCTATTTTTCATTGTTTTTGTTCAAACAGTCTTCTAGGTTGTATAGCCCAGGTGTGTCCATTTGCTGTACAGAAGTAACTCGTGGTTGCTGTGAAGCTGAACACTGTGACACTAATGTGTCAAATGAGATAAAGGTCACCCATGGTGGACAGTGTTTGGTGGTGCTCCCCAGTTAAAACAAGCTTGGAAGCAGGAGTGACATCCACTTCCAAAAAAGCTTGCCTCTGGAAACCCTATGAACTGGAGAAAGGATGAAAGTCTCGCACACAAGTGTCGAGGACTTTCATTCATAGGGTCACTATGAGTCACCTACTCAATGACAACAACAACAACAACAACAACAACAACAACAACAACACTCTAAGCAGATCCTCAGGACAATGACATGGCTATTACAGTAACAGCGGATACCATGGATTAAACGTTTGGCTGAAAATGGAAAGGTCACTGGCTGGAACTTGCTCCACCAGCCACTCCACAGGAAACAGAGGAGGAGATGAGTCAGTTTACTCTTTTAAATATTTTCAACATTGGGACCTTATTAAAAAACCTTACTGCACTGGAGTCAAAACTGAATGGAGACTATAAGATCACACAGGAGGACAACTCCTGTCCTTCTCCCTTGGAGCCACTGGTGGATTTGAACCATCAGAGAGGAGGCATTTTTGGGTTAGCACCCTAGCCCCCTACAGACAGGATCACCAGAGCTCATAGTGGTGGGAACCTGCATGGTAGAGCGCTTCCGTTCTGTCCCTTCCAGTCTATCCAGGTTGACATTGAGTTGATGGCAGTGGGACTGATTTTGGGATTGTAATGAGGGCACAGTGGGTGTGTTTGGTCCTTGCCAATGACTCTGTCCTCTTCTTTAAGAGGCATTTTCCTTAGTGCGCTATGCCAATTTGCTGACACATGTGAAAAATTAGCATAGAACACTTAGGAAAATGCTTGGTGGAGTAGAAGAAGGGGAATGGCGGTAGAAAACACGTGTTACGGGAGTAAAACACAGGATGGGTCTAGCAACCCGAAGCTCTGATTCCCACTCACAGGAACCCTCTCTTGGATTTCTGTAGCCACAAGTCTTTACAGAAGATTGGTCATCTTTTTCTCACAAAGCAGCTGATGGACTTGAAGTTCTGACCTTTAGGTTAGCAGCACGTAAGGCATGGCACTAGGGTTCCTTCGTATACAGGTCAGAATTGACTTGACAGGAATACGTTTTCATATGAATATTGATATATATTGCATACTGGGCTGCTCACAGCAAGGTCATGTCTATTTCCACACAGATTTGCAGCCTCTAAAATGGACGGGGGGCTGTTCGGGGAGGGAGTCAACTTGAAGGCAGTGAGATGGGGGTTGATGTGTGATGTAGATAGACAGATTTTCGACTTAAAAATTATAAATAATTATTCCTGGATACTGTCTCTCTTCTATTATCTACATTAATGAGCTTGTGGAGACAGAACTATTTATCTACAGTAATGTCTATTTAGGGAGCTCTGGTGGCCTAGTGGCAAGAAGCTGCGCTGCGATCTTGAAGGCCCACAGTTCGAGGCCCCCAGCTGCTCCACTGGAGAAGGGTGCACAGTCTCCTCCCATGTGATTAACTGCCTCTGAAAACCCATCAGAGGGTCAGCTATTGGTCGGTTCCGACTCTACGGTAAACAACAACAATGTTTATTTAGGGAGCTCTGGTGGCCTCATTTAAGAACCTGCACTGCAATCCCAAATGCATGAGGCTCGAATCCACCAGCTGCTCCATAGAAGGACAGACAATCTCCTTCTAATCATTTACTGTCACTGAAAACCCACTGGAGGGGCAGCTATGGTTGATGGCACACAAATACAATATCTGTTTACCTGTGCGGTTACTGTATGCCTTCAAGTGGATTTCAACTCACTGTGACCATGTGTGATACAGTAGAATGATTCTATTAGGGTTTCTACTCTGAAATCTTTATAAGATACTGAATATCCCATGGACTGTCTCTAGAACAAACATGTATGTCTCAGAAAAGTGGCAGCCAGAGTGTTTCTTACAGGCCAAGATGGCACCTATCCATTTCTCATACTTTGGACATGCTACTGGGAGGGGCTATATACTTGGAAAGGTGGAGGATCAGCGAAAGAGGGAGAGACCTTCAATGAGGTGGAGAGAGAATCACTTGAGCAATAGCTTTGAGCATATCAAAGATTGTGAGGGTGACACAGGAGAGGACAGGATTCAGGTTTGTCATTCACAGGGTTACTGTGACTTGTACTCAATTCAACAGCATCCAACAACAATCCTTATGAGAGTAGATTTCCAGGTCTTCCTTCAATGGAGATGCTTCCTGGGTTTGAACTACCAACTTCTTAGTTAGCAGCTGGGCACTTCACCATTATGCTGAGAGGGCATCTTTATGTCCATGCAAAGCATATATTTGTTCAGACAGATTTGCATGCGTTATTCCTAAAAGACTGAGTAAAGTTAGTATTTTGGGAACTAAATCTTTTGGTATTGAGTGTTCTGGATCTGGGTATTGGTGTCTAAATTCTAAATGAAGGGAACTGACTCAGAGACACAGCATCATCTGGCCTGAGGATTCTAATCCTGACACTAGTCCCTGCTGTCTCAGGAAATCCATGGGGAAAGCCAGCCATCACCACATCTTGACAGTTCCAGACTGATGCTGTCCTGCACGTGGAACTCCTGCCAGGTGGTCAGTGAATGCTTGCCCCTGGGATGAGACGCACGTGCGAACTGGGAATTCTCTACCAGACTAGAAACAATGTCGTGGTTATTTCTTCTTCTTCTTCCTTGCCTCCACAGTGAGAACTAGCAGGCACTATTTCTTGTTGCACAAGTTGTTGTTGGTATGCACTGTTGTGTCAGAACCAATTTGGAGCGGTAATTGGCAGGGAAGGAAATTTCTCATCTTTCCCTTACAGAGCAGCTGGTGGATTCAAACTGATTTCCTTTGGGTTGGCAGTGCAACTCCTTTCCACGAGGTCACCAGAGCAAGCTCTACTAGTGTTCTACAATCTGCGCAAGATGTGGGGATCCTCTTGGTGCAGTGGTTAACCTCTAGCTGCTAATCCAAAGTGTGAAGGTTGTAACGTGGAAATTAATCGCTCCATAGGATAAAGACAAGACTGTCTCTCCTGGGAAGACTGGAAACCCTTGGAGCAGTTCCGCTTGGGCTAATAGGGCCACTGTGAGTTGGAAATTGCCTGATACAAGTGCATTCTTGAGGCGTGTGGGAGTTGTGGGCTTTTCTATGGCTGTACTTTGTGGGGCGTGGAGGAGGGAGAGGGGAAAGGAACCCCAACTACTGACAATGCTGGTGTCTCTCTAGTCCTTGTAGACAATTGATGTAGACGTGTGACTTCTGACCTCCCTCTTCTCTGTCACCTGAGTTCTACCAGAGCCACTCCCCTTTCTCCCTTGCAGACTTCTACTCAGCCTCGAAGAGCCAACTCAGAGAGAGTTTTCTACCTTGTGCTCTCTACCTTAAAAAGAAATTAATAAAAAGTTGAGTTTTCTATCAATGTTCCTTCAATACCAGAGGGACAACTAATACCCTGATTATAGCATCTCCTGTTGTTGTTGTTAAGTGCTGTCAAATCGTAGGCAATTCATAGCGACCCTATGAACAAAAGACTTGGACACTTGTATAACTTTTGTCCTTTCTCCAGTTTCATAGGGTTTCCAGAAGCAAGCTATTTCAGGAATGCCATTCCTGCTTCCAAGCTTGTTTTAATCGGGGAGCTCCATCAACCACTGTCCATCATGGGTGACCGCATTTGACTCATCAGTGTCACAGTGTTCACAGCAACCACGAGTTACCTCTGTCCAGCAAGTGGACAGACCAGGGCTATATAACCTAGAAGAATGTTTGACCAAAAACCATTAAAAGC